AGAAGGCTGTAGCTATCGGTAATATTCGCAATCTTTTCTGATTAATTAGGAGTACATGTCCATGGAAAATAGGCGTAAGTGAGGTAATTAAGGAGTCCGACGGCACACTGATCCATATTCAGCAACGCCGTCTAGATCGATCGGCAGAACATCTTAAGGCTCAGTTCAGCTGCCCTCGTCAGCACAAGACATCCCTACACCCGATTCAATTGTGCAAATACTGTCACTTGACATCAGTCCTCGATCTGAAGTAGAGGTTCCCGGGGAAATAAGCTATCTCAAGGGTTCAAAGCTTGCGGCCCCGACGGGCTCTCCCCGTCGTGTTAAGGATGGAGGTCTAACCTTGGTTTTTGAGTTAACAAAACTCTTGGGTTCAGTGTGGGAAAAGTTACAGGTTCCAACTGAATGGTGTGAATCGGTGATCATACCGATTTACAAGGAGGGCTACAGGTTCTCTTCTCGACGGGATCATACTCCGTCGATTGTCTGCCGCTCGTGAAGAGTGCACACGTGAGAACCAGGCTGGTTTTAGACTTGGTCGAGGTTGTATCGACCACATCTTTACTCTCCGTCAAATCCTAGAACACATACACTTTTCGGAGACCCACCATCTCTGTCTTCCTATATCTAAAAGCGGTTTTCGACTCAGTCGACCGCTCTAAACTCTGACGCTGCCTCTCCCTAAAAGGTGTGCGCGAGAAGTTTATTTCAGTATTACAATCCCTCTATACTCATAGCCGAAGCCGAGTCCGGGCTTACGGCACTTTTTCACCCGAGTTCACCTTGGAAAGTGGTGTTCGACAGGATTGCCCTCTCTCTCCATTTCTATTTAATTTTGTTATAGATTTAATTCTCGTGCATTGATAGCGGCATCGATTTACTCCCAGGTGGCACACTGTCTGATCTAGAGTATGCAGACGCATTGTGTTACTAAGTGAAGATTCAGATAAGTTGCAAGCTTTTCTGGATAGTTTGAGTACTAGTGTAGCGATGTTTGGCGCTTGCTTTGCACCTTCAAAGTGTAAAATGTTGCTCCAAGATTGGGTTGGCCCAGTCCCCAACCTCGCCCTGATCGGTGACGTCGTAGATAAGATAGACAAGTTTTGCTACCTGAGCAGCTATATCTCACCTGGAGGACGCATCACAGATGAAGTTTCGGCATGCATATAGAAAGCTCGGTTGGCATTTTCCAACTTGAGACATGTGTGGCGCCGTCGCGACATTCTGTTGTCTGTGAAGGGTCCAGTATATGCTGCAGCAGTTCGGCCAGTTCTGATTTACGGTGCGGAGACTTGGCCATTACGGGAACAGGATAAAAATGGATTGTCGGTGTTCGAACGTCGCTGTCAACATAGGATTGCACGAGTCTGATTTGGGAAACCGGACGAGCAATGCTGAGGTTAGGCGCAGAGTTTTAGGTAATCGCGGTCGTCCACTGGAACATGTAGTCGACCTCCATAGATTACGCTGGTTTGAACATGTGCTACGCATGTCACCAGATAATTCTAATAATCATTCTGCTATTCTATCCAAATGGGCAACCAAAACCGGCTCACGAAAGTGCATGGTTAATGGTTATAAGAACTGAACTGAACAGAACAGTTCAGCTTGAATTAGGATTTCCTTCTAGAATACAAACCAATAATTTAACGAAGAACAACATGTAATTAACTGTTAGTGAACCCGGAGTGCAGCAGACTTTGTAGAACAGTTTTGGGTGCTGTGTAAACGAGTATAAAACGAGTAAATAAATTGGTCGTATTCTGGCGTCGAAAAATTCGCAAATCTGTCAACAGTCATTCGTCTGAACAGGCGGTAAAATCTGGGTTCATTCGCCTTACGATGTCATGTTTTGTAGTGGTTGAGTTGTTGACTACTAATGAGTAGTAAAACATCAAATGGGAGTCCGCTTTTAATTGATTGATTCACGCAATAAAGCGGCTGCTAGGCTTCGTCCGTTAATTTAGGGCTGGGTTTTCGATACCAGTTTAACGCTTAGGGTTTTATTGCAGTTTATTTTATTTCTCTGTGAGGTCTACTCCACTGAAGGTTTCTACGGTTATCCCGTCGTTTCTTCAACTCGTTTTCTGCCAGCTGCCTTCATGCTAACATGCCGCACACAGTATTGTCCCACACTAAAATGTTATTCACTAAGCTGTTTTTCCTTATGGTACCGTTAATCAATGAAGAAATCCAAGTTTCTGAAGTATCATAAACTCTAGCGAAGATTGCGCTACCAGTTCTGCATTCTGCATACGATAAAAATTTCCCTCTTGAATTCGTCTCTGACAAGTGGGATGTTTTTAATGGACTTCAGATCTACGCTTTGTGAGAGTACACTTGAATATTGTTTGTTTTGCAACCCATTCTCTCTTGTAAGAGATTAAGTGAAAATACAGGTTCTCAGTGCCGACGTCTTCGTTCACCACCCGCGTAAAACCCAGCCAATTTGTGCTTTTATGCTAATCTGATTACCGCACTGCGTGTCTCTCACAATCTCTACTGCATTCTACCTGTACGGCCGACTCAGAGGAAAGTGATATTCTCCAAATCTGGGTTATCACTGCCTGGGAAGTAATTGGGAGGTGAGGCCGCGCTAGAAGAATTCACGGTTCGATGCATAAATGACCGGGACATAACTTCACTTTCAATCAGATCTCCGGTCACGAGCCAGTTCCGGCATCATAATCCTTGAATATAGTACTTGTTTCTAAGTACATTTTCTCTAAATTCTCCCGTCGCATTATGTATGTCCGTATAAATGAGAATCTGTTCAGTTCGTGTTTCTCTCCTCTCTTCACAGTCTCCCACACCAGCCCCGAAAAAACGTATTTCAAAGCCTCGTAGTAAGGTCCACG